TGCAAAATAAAAGCTTTTAACATACCCGGGCTTTGGTCAGCCATCATTCTGATCAAAGGCCTCAAAGGAAAAAAGCCAGGGGAGTGGTGGTCGTGACAGGGAAGATAACAACACAGAATTCAAACCTTGGTGCTCTTCAGGAAGCATAACTGTCCTTATAGTGTCTTTAACAGCAATAAGATTGTTATTACACATTTTGACTACATTCTGGTATGAATAATCAGATGCTGATGGTTTTAATGGCAGGTTACTTCCAGCCCTCTGCGCTAGCACTATTGCTGTACAGCCGTTGAAAAAATTGTCATATTCTCCCTGAGAGACAGTTGTCTTTCATTAGTGATCCTTAGTGTGGTATTTTACTGTTTCTTAAAGCTCTTTCAAGTTCTAGAAATGTTTTGTGCATTTTTTTTAATAAAGGTAAAATGCTCATAGTGAGAGGTGGGTCTGAAAGGTCTAAGTGGTATCTGAGGTGTACCTGGATAAAGTACACCTTATCCAGAAAGGTTTTGCCACCTCGCTCAGATTCCGTAGGGTGACCAGAAGGTCACTGCTGGGAGGTCTCTGCCGTGGGGATACCTCAGGAGGGAGAAGGGAGACAGCAGCCCTTTGGCAAGCTGCACCAGTCAGGTGAGTGAGGAGAAACTGGTAAATAAAGCTGTGTTCTAGCTTCTTGCTTTTGCCCCTCTCTTTCTGCAGCACCCACATCCAAGTGGTCAGCTTTGACAACAGGCCGTTTGCCCGCACGTCCTGCGGCACAGAAGGCTTCCAGAATGCCAAGAAGGGAACTGCCATCGCGGCACAGACCGCAGCCATTGCAGCAGCGGTGGTGAGTCTGCGCTGACGGCTCTCCCCCGCCCGCAGGGGAGCACCGCCTGCCTCCCCCCCCACCTGCGTACACGCCTCGCTCACAGGCAGCAGTCCAGAGCTCTGTTCCTCAGCGCTCGAGCAGCTCACTGCAGTTTCCCTAGCTTCACCTGACACACTGCGCATCTTCACACTAGCAAAGCGTGTTAGGAACGCCCAGAGGGTGAGCTTAGCTGTGCAGGTGGTGAAATGTAACTTGGAGCCTGTCCTTTTCTAGCACCAGTTTGTGTAGCTCCTTTTTTCTAAGTGATTACCTCAGCCATTTTGGAAATGCAGCCACTGAATCGGCAGCAGTTCAGGTTTTGCACTGTAGGGGACTGAGAGGCAGCTGTAATTACTGGCTGAATGTTTTATATTTGCTCTCTGCCACAGGAGAACTGAGCTGCTGCTAGCAGTTCCAGTCAGAGATGGTGATGTTCTTGTGTGGGTAGTTTCCAGCCGCATACAGTTTACTCTTAATTGTTTCTAAAAAGCCCTGTGGGCATCCAGGTGGCAGGAGAAGTTGAGGCTGGCTGTGTCACGATCCTCATTACAGCAGAATCGGGCAAGGTTAAACTGAAAATCCTCATCCTAAATGAGGTGGAACTCACAGCCTTCATGTCAGCGGTGTCTGGGGCCGCTGCTGGCCAACAGCTTACTGTGGTGGACTCAGAGGAACATAAGAACATCTTCACTATTAATCTGTGCTCATCGGAGCCTCATAGTAGCTGCACAGCTGTGCTTGGCCGGGTTTATTCTGTCACTGTTGAAGTTGTTGATACATTAATTGCACCAAGCAGCGAAAGCGAGAGACCCAGAGGAGCTCCATCCACACGGTGGCAGCACGGCTCTGCTTTACAGCAGTTGTTTTTCATGTTCAATTTGCAAGGCCCTAGAATTTTTGCACTGAAGGTGTGGACTCCTGCACAGCAAACATAAAGCTTGCCTGCTTTTCTCATTTACCCTTTAGAAGGAATCCACTGATCACAGGAGAGAAGTCGCCGCATTAGAGAAGGGAAAAGAGCTTTGAGTTAGTTCCTTGCCAGTTCAGTCACGTATCCGTAGATATGTCATTTTCTGCCCTGGCTTTAGGTCACAGATAGTTTGATCTTAAAGCTTTCTCTGTGTGCAGAGCTGACAGCCTAGCACAGAAGTTCTCTTGGAACTGCCATGGCTGTATCCAGGCCTCCTTTCCTCCTAGTGGCTTTGTGCAATAATCCCCGTATTTGTCTTCTGTATCCATTACTACCTACTGTTTATTTTTACTTAAAGAATACTATCCTAGTGGGTCAAAAAGGAATGAAAGACTGCAGGGGAGCCAGAGCAGCAGTAGTTCTATCACAAAGAACACTAACCAGCTGTTCTTTTTGCAGAAGGCACGTGGGAAGGGTGTATTGCACGTACGAGTCATGGTGAAAGGACTGGGACCAGGACGCAAAGTAGGTGTCAGAGTTTCTTTTCATATTTTTCATCTCATCATCCACTTCTTTTAAATTCAGGATGGTCTCATGACTATACCTATTAACTTGTTTTTTCTGAAGGTGACGCAAAGAATTCATCACTCAAGTGCCTAGTAATGAAATTTTAGTATCATTAGAATTTTAGAGTGTTACATTTTGGAGGCAGAATAAAAGCTGTATTTAGGACTTCGTCCAACTAAAGTAGGAAAATTGATGGGAATGCTCATGAAAGGACTGGAGCAGATAGGTTTAAACTGGGTTTTCTAATATGAACTACTTATTTTTAAGATAATTGCAAAGTAGAACCATTGGAACAAGTTGATTTTGGGGGGGGGGGGGG